ATATATATATATTATTTATTTCTTCTGCAAGGGAAACAGTGCATTTATAAAGGCTCTGGAGAAAATAAAATATTGTCTGATATTGTTTTAAAGGTTCAGGCCGTCCACAATGGCTACTTTTGTTTCTGCTAGATACTGGTGGGTTAAGCTACCTTATGGTTCCATAGGTGTCTCCCGAACAATGGGGGTGAGCCTTCTGCGTTTACCCCCGATTCACATCCACGCAGCCGTGCGTGGGCACGAGTGCCAATTCATTTGAATGGAGTCCCGTGCCCGTGACACGCAGGGGAGAAGTCCCTGCACTTCGTTGGAAAACACAGCCGAGGTTCCCAGTACGATTGCGTTTTCCAGTGCGGGCGCTGTGCCATTAGAACTACCCGGAAATACGAAATCACGTATATATGCGCGATTTTGCGCAGCCCTGCCACCCTGTAGCGGTAGTTCTTCTATAGGGCGGTCGGGAAGCGGTTAATCCGGGCCTTGACAGGTTTGTCTGAAATCTGCGACTTTATCCACTTAGGGAGCAGCTAGATATCCGGACGGCTCTTTATTCTGACGCCAGTCATTTCATAATTCCTATTCACTTTAGGTGCCCTATGTATCTTCTGCTTCGCAGCCTCTGTATATCTATTTACACTGCTTAGATTGAGGTTTCTATGTTTGGACAAAACTGTATCATTTATTTTTATCTGCAGAGACTTCCAATGCAATTACAGTGCAGCTCGCTGATGAAAGCGTCGCCGGCTCCCATACAGGGCTCCCCTTCTGATATCTCCGACATGTCAGCTCATGGAAGCTATGTTCTAGGATGGTATTTGCTCTACTAATTGCCTCTTAGCCTTGTCTCCATCTTCAGGTCTCCATCGTTAGAATGTCATATTGTGGGAACCCGCAGACGCGGCACGTTCGTATTGTCCAATCTTTTGACAATTGTCTCCTGAATATTAATCCCCACCAATCTCCGCGTTGGCTGGAGCTGGGATGCCAGACAGCCTAAAGGCCTAAGGGACGGTCAATATTGCCGCGCCGTGATATGTGACATTTGGCGTCACGGTTTATAAATCAGCGGCGTAACGAAAAAGCGCCTTATAATTTCGCCACGCAGGATGGACCGTCAGGAAAGGAGAACTCGCAGGCTAGGTACGAAAAAAAAAATGGCTCATTTAGTAGCAAGAAAAAAAAAAATGAAAGAGGAGGAAGAATCTAAAAAAAGGTGTACCGCGTCGATCAGTATTTCTCAACCAGGGTGCCATTTGGGGTGCTGTGAGCAGGAGACCCAGTTTTCACTAGATCGGGGGTCTCCAAACTTTCTAAACAAAGGGCCACTTTAGTGTCCTTCAGACTTTGAAGGGGCCGGACTGTGGCCAGTGGGAGTAGAAAATTCCCTGTTGTCAATGGGAGTAAACAGTGCCCCATCATTGGTATGTTTGTGTCGTTGAGAGGAATAGTGCCCCATTGCTGGTGTCAGTGGGAGGTATTGTGCCCTGCTGTTGCTATCAGTGGGAGGAATTGTGCCTTGTTGTTGGTATCAGTGGCAGGAATTATGCCCCATTGTTGGTGTCAATGGGAGGAATAGTGCCCCATTGCTGGTGTCAGTGGGAGGTATTGTGCCCTGTTGTTGCTATCAGTGGGAGGAATAGTGCCCCATTGCTGGTGTCAGTGGGAGGAATTGCGCCTTGTTGTTGGTATCAGTGGCAGGAATTATGCCCCATTTTTGGTGTCAGTGGGAGGAATAGTGCCCCATTGCTGGTGTCAGTGAGAGGAATTGTGCCTTGTTGTTGGTATCAGTGGCAGGAATTATGCCCCATTGTTGGTGTCAGTAGGAAGAATCGTGCCCCATTGCTGGTGTCAGTGGGAGGAATTGTGCCCTGTTGTTGGTCAGTCCAGTGGTCATCAGTGGTACTGACCCCCAAGTGCCCGAATGGTCAGTCCGCCCCTTGTGGCATCAGTAGCTGTCAGAGTAGGCATGAATCTGCACCCTGCTAGTTGCTAGCCACTGATCTGAAAGTTTCATGTAGTGATGAGGTGCCCTCCTATAATCCTACACCCACAGTTGATCCAGAGGAAGGCAAAAAAAAACAGCAAAGCACGATCCAATTTGCTCCTGCAGGGGAAGAAATTCCTTCCTGATCCCCTGAGAGGGATCTCTCTTAGAGAGGGTTTCTCCATTGGAAGATTTCTCTGTTTCTGTTCCTGTGAACATAGTTACATAGTTAGTCTGGCTGAAAAAAAGACAAAAGTCCATCCAGTTCAACCATTAAAAAAAAAAAAAGTTATAATCCTACACCCACAGTTGATCCAGAGGAAGGCAAAAAACCCAGCAAAGCACGATCCAATTTGCTCCTGCTGGGAAAAAATTCCTTCCTGATCCCCCCGAGAGGCAATCGGATATTCCCTGGATCAACTTTCCCTATAAATGTTACATCCAGTTATATTCTGTGTATCCAAGAAACAATCCAGGACTTTCCTACAGCAATCCACTGAGCTGGCCACAACCAACTCTTGGAAGGAAGAATATGGAAATGGACTTTCTAGGCACAGAAAGACCTCCTACCACCGAGGGTCAACCCCAGTCACCAACCTTCCAATATATCAACTCTTGAGGGAGTCCATTCCACCTTCTCACAGCAGCTCTTACTAGGGGTTCAAAGGTGATTTATTGCCATGTGTATGACTCCCTTTTGTAGATTTCCCCTAACTTTCTGTCCCATTGACAGGACGGGAAGTGAAAGGCAATCTTCAATAAAACTTTAAGAGGGCTTCAAACCCTTTTCCTCTCTATTGCAAACAAATACTTGAGCAGGAGTTGGGTTGTAGATCCCGTTGCCGTGTTTCCTGCTGGCATTAGCGATTGATTGATTGGACTTGTCTGGATGTGCTCTTTAATAAGCCCTACAGGAGAGCATGGAGCTTGCAGGTGACCTATCGTTTTATGACACACAGAAGAGGACACGATGTGTTATTTTTGCCAGCGTTATTCCTTTTATTGCAGGTTTAGATAATCAGCCAAATATCTGAGGATTGTCAGAGTTATCTGCAGGCAAATTTATCACCCCAGCAGGAACACTCCTTTCCACATGAAAAATTGTTCTAAAACAAATTCATGAACCCAACGCTATTAGGCATGAAAGTGACTTTCTACTTAATTCACTACAGTTAAAGGTCTCCTGCAGACGCTCATTTTCCAGAATGAAATAAAACACCTCGCGCTTTTTCCTACATAACTGCAGCCGGCAGAGGCTCAGGGAGATGTGGCTTTGACTTATTGTTGGGTGGAAGTGTAGCGCAAGCAGGATTACAGAATATATTTGACCTTGGGGATTAGAGCTGGGTTCTAGATCTTGGGGGATTAGAGTTGAGTTATAGATCACAGGGATTAGAGCTGGTTTCTAGATCATGGAGATTAGAGCTGGTTTATAGATCATGGAGGATTAGAGCTGGCTTCTAGATCATGGAGGATTAGAGCTGGCTTCTAGATCATGGAAATTAGAGCTAGTTTCTAGATCATTGGGATTAGAGCTGGTTTCTAGATCATGGGGGATCAGAACTGGGCTGTAGATCATGCAGATTAGAGCTGGTTTCTAGATCATGGGGGGGCAAAGCTGGGTTCTAGATCATGAGGATTAGAGCTGGTTTATAGATCATGGAGATTAGAGCTGGTTTATAGATCATAGAGGATTAGAGCTGGGTTCTAGATCATGGAGATTAGAGCTAGTTTCTAGGTCATTGGGATTAGAGCTGGTTTCTAGACCACGGACGGTTTTAACTGGGTTCTAGATCACGGGGTGGAATCAGAACTGGGTTCTAGATTGTGGAGATTAGATCTGGTTTCTAGATCAATGGGATTAGAGATGGTTTATAGATCATGGGGGATCAGAACTGGGCTGTAGATCACTGAGATTAGATCTGATTTCTAGATCATGGGGATTAGAGTTGGTTTATAGATCACGGGGATTAGAGCTGGTTTCTAGATCATAGGGATTAGAGCTGGTAAATAGATCTTGGGGATTAGAGCTGGTTTCTAGATCACGGGGGATTAGAGCTGGGTTCTAGGTCATATGGTTTAGAACTCATTTCTAGATCATGGGGGATTAAAGCTGGGTTCGAGATCATGGGGGTTAGAGCCAGTCTGTAGATCATGAGAATTATAGCTAGGTTCTGGAAAATGAGAATTAGAACTAGATTCTAGACCACAGAGATTAGAGTTGGGGTCTGGATCCTGGGCATTAGAGCTGCGTTCTAGATTGTGAGAATTAGAATTGGGTTCTAGACCACGAGAAGTAAAACTATATATTAGACCACAGAAATTAGATCTGGGATCTGGACCATGAGGATTAGAGATTCTGGATTAAGAGGATTAGAGCTGTTTTAATTAGCACTAATGAAGTCGTTCCAACTTTAGAAAAGGTTCCTGCACTACTTTAAGGTGACATGTGCCCATAGACCTTAATGGAAGTCGCCTCAAAGTCAGATCCTTATCCATTGTGATGTGATTCGGATACGGCATTACAGGAAGATTACCCAGCATTCCCTGAAAGTCGCTTCAGAGTTGCTTCAAAGTAGTACTCAAGTTGCCTGGAAAAGTCACACTGTGAGTCACGCGACTTTCAGGTCTCAGTAGTGTGAACCAAGATTAAGGGTTTGACAAGTTCACTATAAAGCAGCGCAAACTGTCAGGAAGGACAGTTCTGCCACTGACCATACAAGAAGCCAGTCTCCATCTTAGGGGTGGACTGACAACTCATGGGGCCCCCGGGCAATAGGGGATCATGGGGCCCCTGTGTCCTTGCCCAAACTCAAAAAGGCCTATGAAAAAGGTGCCGGGGGCATCTCATCGGGCCCCCTACTGAGCCTGGGCCCTCGGGCAGTGTACGATTTTCCAAATGGTCAGTCCACCCCTGGTCCATCTACTTCACAAAGACTCCTCTTACAGCAAATACAAGGAATGATCCAGAATGGAGCAAGTAGGGATACATCTGAGCTCATGGGCGGACTGACCATTCGAGCACTTTTGCACTGCCCGAGGGCCTGGGGTCAGTAGGGGGCCCCATAAAATGCCCCTGGTACCTTTTACAGGCTTTTTTGGGTGTGCTTTCAGTGTGAGCAAGGACACAGGGGCCCCATGATCCCCTATTGCCCGGGGGCCCCATGACTTGTCAGTCCGCCACTGTCTGAGCTACAACATAATCATACACGTGAATGTACTCTGTGTGGTGTAGGATTATACTAGTCCATAGGTTCAAAAATATCCATGGCAGCTCCTCAATGAGACTGAAGTGATCTCTGCAAAATATAAAGGAAACAGTGGAGGGCGCCAACTAAATTGCAGTAACTAAGTGAGTGAGTTTTTTTTCATATATGCTGCACTTAGTTGGCACCCTCTGATGTCTCCTTCTTACAGCAAAGAGAATTCTAGAGATGCATCAAACCTCATTCTTGAAGCCATGGAGTATCCTTTCTGCTGCTTAGCATACATTATCTAATACCATCTTCACTCCATCCACACGTTGCCTGCTCATGTAGTTTCCAGAGCCACTAACAACACAGGAGGAGCCAATCTTAGACCAAGGATTGGGTTGCAGAATAAAATCCAGCAACCCTTGTCTGTCTAGTTATCCATTAGGGCATGTTTCTTGAACCATTAGGAGCAGGGCTTTTTTTCTCAGATAATAGATGCAGGAACTCCACCCCCCTTTGAGTCACCCTTGTCTCCGCCCCCCTACCCACGTCCGAGCGTCGTCTCTTAGTTCCACCCCTTGCCCATCTCCTAGTACTGCCCCTTTTATACAGAACCAAGTATCCTATTGTTGTGCTAAGTAATTTGGAATTTGTTAAAGATAAAGCAGTAAAATGGATCCCCTGCAGCCAGCAACAATAGATCCCACAGCAACAGTTGAGCCCTGTCAGCAACATCAGATCTCTAAACCCTCCAGCAGTTAGCAATAATAGACACTCTCCCTCAACAGTAGATCCCCCCAGCAACAAATGACCTCCCCAGAAACATAAGACACCCCCCCCACAAGCAGCAACAGATCTCCCACTCAAAATTAGCTCCCCTCCAGCAACAATAGATCCCTATGCATCCAGCATCAATAGACTCTCCAGTACACCCCATACATCTTGTGCTGGAGGTGCCAGAACTGTGTTCCCCCACGCTCCTGCCGAAAAAAGCCCTGATTAGGAGAATCTATTGGGAGTCCCTCTACATCAAGCAATGCTGCAAGGCAGTAATTCACAACTCTAGTCATCCCCAACAACTCACGTTTTTCAGGATTTCCTTCTCCTTACACAAGCAATTTAATCAGTAATTCTGGCTTGGAAATAATTATTTTATCAGAGGAACATTCTCAATCAAGCCCTCTTGATGGTGCTTGACCAGAATTGAGTTCTAAAACACGACAAGCAAATCTTTACAGCTTACAGCGTTCTAGAACACAGATTAAAATATAGGCACAGAGATCTAGACCACAAAGCAGGTTCTGGAATATGGAGGTATGAGCTTTTAGTACATCAAGCCTTGATTAGGAGAATCTATTGGGAGGTTCTCTACATCAAGCAATGCTGCAAGGCAGTAATTCACAACTCTAGTCATCCCCAACAAGTCACGTTTTTCAGGATTTCCTTTACCTTACACAAGCAATTTAATCAGTAATTCTGGCTTGGAAATAATTCTTTTATCAGAGGAACATTCTCAATCAAGCCCTCTTGATGGTGCTTGACCGGAATTGAGTTCTAAAACACGACAAGCAAATCTTTACAGCTTACAGAGTTCTAGAACACAGAATAAGATATAGGTGCAGAGATCTAGACCACAAAGCAGGTTCTGGAATATGGACGTATGAGCTTTTAGTACATCAAGCCCTGATTAGGAGAATCTGTTGGGAGGTCCTCTACATCAATCAATGCTGCAAGACAGTAATGCACAACTCTAGTCATCCCCAACAACTCACGTTTTTCAGGTTTTCCTTTAAGCAATTTAGTCAGTAAATCAGTAATTCTGGCTTGGAAATAATTATTTTATCAGAGGAACATTCTCAATCGAGCCCTCTTGATGGTACTTGACCGGAATTGAGTTCTAAAACACGACAAGCAAATCTTTACAGCTTACAGCATTCTAGAACACGAATGAGATATAGACACAGAGATCTAGACCACAAAGCAGGTTCTGGAATATGGAGGTATGAGCTTTTAGTACATCAGCCCTCGTTAACCCAGCAGTGATTTTTCTGACAAGAGGTTAACGTTATTAACAGTTTCTCATGAATGTCCCCGATGGGTCTCCAAGGACTTATAAACATGGAGAAGTTGTTGAGTTCACGTAGCACATCACGGCTAACGCCGACCTGTCATTTCTGCTTATTTCTATGTTTATGGCCCTCTTAAAACACCCATGAAGTGCTCCTATTAGATAAGTGCTCTGAGCCTAATTTTCTAGTCGTTATATAACCTTTTAAGAGGAAACATCATCGTGAGCGTTTTTATGGATTTAATAACGGTAAACAGAAGATGAGCACTGCTAGCCGTGGCAAATGCGGAACATTTAGAATACAACTCTGCCAAAAAGCCAAAGACTGTGTGTGCATGTTGAGTGACTTACATTAAACTGGAACTCTACCGAGCAAACATAAGGTGCAGGTTAAAAGATTTTAAGTCAAGGCCTGGACTGAGGGAAGCTAGAAGGGAGGGCCAGCATGACTGGGGCTTGCAGACGAGGCAGAGAATGGATTGGGGTTGGAGTATATGCAGGAGATGGGGGTGGTTACTCACCTGATTGGAGTAACTGAGCTTGAGGGTGGTCTTGCCAGGATGAGGAGGGTGGTTGGGACTTGTCAGAGGTCAGTCAAAGCTTGTGCCAGTACAGGTGTGGTTTCTCCCGCCCTCCTCCCTGGAGCTGTTTTTATGTTTTGTTTTTTTGCTTGCTTTGGTTATTGGTTTGTCCTTTTGTGTTTGTCATGTTGTTTGTTTTTTTGTGTGGGTTCCTTGATTTTCTTTTCTTACTCAGCATTTGGTGTCCTGTGGTTGTCTGGTTTTCTGTTTTTGTCATGGCAGGGGTCGATGGGTCTTTAAAGTAAGTGCCTGGAGTGATAATTTGGTGGATTATGGGTTGGGCCCATCTTAGGTATGGGTGTTCCTTCCCAATTATAAGGTCATGTTGGTAACGTGGGAGTTCATTGGTTGTATCTGAGACTACGTAACTGTAGTATGTCCCCGAGGCGGTATAGTAGCGGCTTGGGGCCTATCCATTGGGTGTCAGATACAGCCGAGTTATTGATGTGAGTAACGATGCCTTCGAAGACCTTGGACCCGGGGGGATTATTATTACTGGCAGTTATTATTTGAGTGTACTGTAAGAAGTGTTATGTTAGAGTTATGTTAAATAAATGGCTGCTATGGCCGGTTTTACACCAAAAGGAGAGTCACGTGTTTATTTAGGTGAGGAAGGTTGAAGGAGTGGTTTTTTTATGGTTTAGGTGGTAAGCATTAGCCACGATATTCTGCATGGCCCTCAGTCATGTAAAACCTCAAAGTGGCCCTAGCGTCGTCTATTTTTGTTTCATGTTAGGCGCATGCATGCTCAGTAATATGCATCACTTTCACATAATTTTTTTACCTCTCACTGAGATCACCGTACTCCCCCTAAAAATGTGCATTTCTCTCCAGAAGGATACCTCCATGATTAAGGCATCATCCAGGGTCACCATCTACTTCCTGGACTGAGATCTGGTATTAAAACAATGTTGGATAGCTTTAAAATAATCCTGAGAGCTTCTAATATTTATTGATGGTCCCTGTGAGCCACATTGGGCATGCTTGATCATCACTGGGATCAGGGGCGGACTGACCATTTGGAAACTCGGGCACTGCCCGAGGGCCCGGGGTCAGTAGGGGGCCCCATGAGATGCCCCTGGTACCTTTTTCATAGGCTTTTTTGAGTTTGGGCAAGGACACAGGGGCCCCATGATCCCCTATTGCCCGGGGGCCCCATGAGTTGTCAGTCCGCCCCCGACAGGGATAGGTTAACTACACAGTCAACCCTTGACCAGGGGACTAAAGATGGCTTGTTCCCAATCCCTTCTGATCATTACCTTCCCCCTTTTACCCTAAGTAACACTCAGACAACAAGCTGGAGTTAATGGCCCAAATGGCCTTTTAATACAACCATCAATAAATAACATTTAAATATTGTAAACAACATAAACACAGTATAACATAATCTTCAAGGTCCCAATAGGCATCAAGAGAATACCTGAGTCCTGCTGAAAAAAGGCCTCCAGCCGCAACACCACCGACTCGGAGACAACCACCGCAGATACCCCCATCAGAGCAACTGGAAGCCGTACCTCAGACGGGTCCCTACAAAGTACCTTTCTTGTGCCCACAGTAACCTACGAGGACCTTGCACCCCGCAGGCTACCCGTCAGCACCAACCGGCTCAACCACCACCAAAACAAACCATGAAACAACGGGTGGGCGGGAGGAAAGTTTTCCTTGTCAAATCTTCCTTCTGACTGAAGCCCCCCTGCCGCAACCTGTCAGACCACCCCTTGTGGCTCCAGCCTCTCCCTCCTTAAACACCATTTAGAATTCCCCCCTAAACTAATAGGACTCTCCTCTCCCAACCCCCTTTAACCGCTGTCATGCTGGCTCTTCATTCATGTCTTCTTCTTTTCTTTTACTCCGGGCCTCCCTTTACACACAAAATATTAACAGTTTTAACAACAAGCACCGTTCACTGCAGCCACTGTTGCAATTGTAACACTTTAAGATAAATGTCTGTGTGACTCGCTGCTCCACCCAGACAGGAATGTAACAGAGGTCACAATACAGTAGCTTTCTTTATGAAACAAAAACTTATTTAATTTCTGGTTACAGCATTCAAAGATTCAGGTTAACCATTTTTAAATATCAATTTACTGAGAGATAAGAAAAAGAAACGATTTACAGAGGAAAAAAAAATATTACAAAACAGACAATAATCAACAATTAAATAAAAGGGACTGAAAGGGAAAAAATACTTAGCAAAGTTTGCCCAGTCTTTGACTCTGAGCAGAGTCCAATTCACTTACAAACCAAAGATGTTTCATCTTAGTTTCGGAAAGAGTGGAGATGGATTAGAACCCCTGCCAGTTTTTATTGTTGTCTGTGCCCCCATCAGGAAGATTCACCCTATTTGTCATGTTTACCATCATCATCAAAAGTGAATATTAAAGAAACCCCAGATTTTGGGTTGTCCCCAGAAAAGAAAACAAGGCAAAATTTTCCAATGGGGACACTAGTTCTGGTGACCTGAGGGGTCCCCAAAGAATTCCCTTAATTTGCAGGGATTTTCACTCACTTCCTGTTTTGGCTATGGGACAGGAAGTGAAGAGAAAATTCCCCAATGGGACATAGATGGCAAAAATTGAACTGACAGGGGTTATAACCCTACTCTTACTCTGTCCAAAATGAAAAAAAAAAGCTTTGCCTATAGTTCTACTTCAAATCCAATCTGATGCATCAGAGTCGCTGGATCTCAGAATTGTGACTCTCTCAGTATCCTTAGTAACTTTGTTGTCACAACGTGCGCACGCTTTTCTAGTCCCTGGTGAAGTTGTTACATAATTAAAACACCCAATCAAAGGCTTTGAGGGTTGGAGAATATTTTTATTGTGCTTCAGCTGACATATCCTGCCTGCCAGGTATATGAACTATATTGATATTTTCATCTGACAAAGTTTCACAATCCGACAGCCGAATTATCATTGCACAGAATGAAATTACAATATGTTAGACACTAAATATGATATGGATATCTAAATGTCTCCCTTAGGAGAGTAAATGCGTCCCACCGGTCTATTAAACATTGCAATATAGGTTGTGTTTGGTGTCCATCTGATTGGCATCTTCGCATACATTGGTGTGACCACTTTTTACTTAAAAAGGGTGACTCCATGACAGTAAGAATCATGGAATATAGAAAGAGTTGGACTCAGAATGCGTATTTGCTCGAACCATTCTTTAGACTGTTTTAAGACCTGGCTATTTACGACATGGCTGCACTAGGAGCCTTTTAAGGATTCTGGCTAATGGAGGTTTATAGCATCCCTCTGTGCTTAGACTGTTTCAATGGGATTTTATGATTCCTCTGCTTTCTAACTAACTTTATCTGCATGGTGTCTTAAATTTAGCTAGTTCTAGTGGGGTTTTATAAAATGTGTCACCTTCTGTGTTTGTCAATATGAACATGAAAAGAAAACCTAATCATCCTTGCTGACGGACCATTTGGAAACTAGGGCAACATGCCCGAGGGCCCGGGGTCAGTAGGGGGCCCATGAGATGTCCCTGGTACATTTTTCATAGGCTTTTTTGAGTTTGGGCAAGGACACAGGGGCCCCATGATCCCCTATTGCCTGGGGGCCCCATGAGTTGTCAGTCCGCCCCTGCTGTCGACTTTTTACTTTGGAATAATTAGCTTGGCATTGTGTTCAGTAGAATTCCTCCTTCACTTCAGACAGTTTGGGGTTCCTCATTATCATCACAGGTGCTATTGGCCAGGTTGCAAGAAGGAATACTGCAGGTTGTCAGTGTTTTGAGGAAAGGAAGAGGCTGTGGAATCATATATAGCCGGTCTCATCCAGAAAATCATGGCTTCCAGCAGATACATTGATATTTTGGACAGTGTTTGGTTGTATGAAGGCCAGATCCTCATTGTTCTGTTTTTATTGTAAGATGTTTGGCTGTATGTAGGAAATCAGACTTCCTATGAGTGGCATCATGTCTCCTTAATGTTCCTGGTGACTTATGTTAATAAAGTTGATTGCACATACAATATGGCTGCCGTCACAGTGTCTAAGTAATGAGTCTTTAATAAAGTTATCATCGCTTGATGACATCCCTGAGCTGATTTGCAGAATCTCATTGTAGCCGTTCGGGTAATGACTCAATTTCCATCTTCCCCTGCTAGCTGAAGGTCCTTACTCTTGCACGATATAATTGATCCAGATATGGACTAATTAAAGTTTAATATTACACGGGGAAAAAAAAAAATAGGTGTTAAGGGGAAACGTGTAAGAAACAAGCTGATGAAAAATAGGCATGACCTTTTCCCAGTCCTTTCTAGTGCAACACTATATTTCTAATTGACTCCACAGTGTAGTCAGATTTTATGCAAGTATGATCCTTTAGTATGGTTCATGATGTTCTAATGAAGTTAATTCTTTTTTACCGGGAACCTTAAAAGGTGACAGAAAGAGGAAGTGCGAGTATTAGTGCAGAAATGCTAAATCGTACTTCATACGTACACATGAGAGAACCAGTGTCTGTCTATCTATCTATCTATCTATCTATCTATCTATCTATCTATCTATCTAATCTTTCTATTTATTATCAATATTTCTTTCTATCTATCTATCTATCTATCTATCTATTTATCTATCTATTATCTATCTATCTATCTATCTATCTATCTATCTATCTATCTATCTATCTATCCATCTATCTATCTATCTATCTATCTATTTATCTATCTATTATCTATCTATCTATCTATCTATCTATCTATCTATCTATCTATCTATCTATCTATCCATCTATCTCTATCTATCTATCTATCTATCTATCTATCTATCTATCTATCTATCTATCTATCTATCTATCTATCTAATCTTTTCTATTTATTATCAATATTTCTATCTATCTATCTATCTATCTATCTATCTATCTATATATCTATTTCACTATCCATTCAGTTATCAATATCTAATATCAATAGAACGATCCAATATCTATTATCTATCTATCTATCTATCTATCTATCTATCTATCTATCTATCTATCTATCTATCTATCTATTATCTATCTTTCTATCTATCTATCTATCTATCTATCTATCTATCTATCTATATCATCTATCTATCTGTTTATTTCTCTTATATTTCCCTCTAGATTTCTCTTTCTTTCTCTTTTCTCTTTTAAATCATTTGTTGGCCTATCTATTCTATCTAAATCTATATTTAGATACACAGAACACAGCAGCTATATGATGAGACTTTTGAACTATGCTGTGAGATTTCTATAGACTGCAACAGTGGCATCTGCAGGATAAAGGCCTGCACTGCATTTCATTTAATAAATCATTTTTATGTCACACAATGGCATTTAGAAATTCCATTTGCCAGTAAATAATGCATATTATTAAATAAAGATATATTTTTATGTAATATCAGAGGAAAGGTTAAATCAAGCTAATGTAAATATGTTATCCTGTTTTTAATACTTATTTACAAAAGAAAGAAACAAAAAGGATTGGTGTTAAAGTGTTACTAAACCCCAGCTCCCCGGATCCCGCATTCACTATATCATCCGCTCTCCCCCGGAACCCCGCATTCACTATATCCGGTCTCCCCGGACCCTGCATTCACTATATCCGCTCTCCCCGGACCCCGCATTCACTATATCAGCTCTCCCCGGATACCCCGGACCCGCATTCACTATATCAATCGCTCTCCCCGGACCCCGCATTCACTATATTCCGCTCTCTCCGGACCCAGCATTCACTATATCCGCTCTCCCCGGACCCCTCATTCACTATATCCGCTCTCCCCGGACCCCATCATTCACTATATCCGCTCTCTCTGGACCCAGCATTCACTATATCCGCTGTCCCCAGACCCCGCATTCACTATATCCGCTCTCCCCAGACCCGCATTCACTATATCCGCTCTCCCCGGACCCCGCATTTACTATATCCGATATCCCAGACCCCGCATTCACTATATCCGCTCTCCCCAGACCCCGCATTCAATACTATATCCACTGTCCCCAGACCCTGCATTCCTAATATCCGCTCTCCCCGACGCCGCATTCACCTATATATCCGCTCTCCCCGGACCCGGCATTCACTATATCCGCTCTCCCCGACCCCGCATTCACTATATCCCGCTCTCCCCGGACCTGAATTCCCCCATATATCCGCTCTCCCCGGACCCCGCATTCACTATATCCGGTCTCCAGGACCCTGCATTCACTATATCCCGCTCTCCCCGGACCCCGCATTCACTATATCCAGTCTCCCCGGACCCTGCATTCACTATATCCGGTCTCCCCGGACCCTGCATTCACTATATCCGGTCTCTC